CCGAGTCCCATCCCGACACTGTCTCTTATACACATCTAGATGTGTATAAGAGACAGCACACACACACACACACACACACAAACACAAACACACACACACACACACACACACACACACACACACAACACTTCTAGGAAACAAAGCAAACAATACATCAGGTTCGAACTTGACAGTCTGCATCCTTTGCGACATCCATTAAAATTGGAATGATACAGAGAAGATTAGCATGGCCTCTGCGCAAGGATGACACACATAAATCGAGAAATGGTCCAAAAAAAAAAAAAAAAAAAAAAAAAAGGAGAAACAAAAAACTTTACTGTCTGCCTACACAGGTCTCTTTTTGAAATGGTATCTTCTCAAGCATGCTGCAATTGTTTTTTTATTTACTGTAGCTAGGTGGGATGTGGCCTACTACTGCAGCTGAGTGTGGCTGACTATTCTTTGGTGTGGCTCGCTGTTCGTTGGCCTCTTTTCACTTTGTGCCGCTCGTGTATCTTGGTGTCCATCACCAAGCCTCTATTGCTGATCTCATGCACATTTATACCTTTCAGACATTGAGGGAATATGAGGTACAGTTCAGGAATCAAAACCACAAACGGAGAATGCTTTTGATCACAACCTCGTGAAGTAACACACTCACCCACATGTTAAAAGTCCAGTTGTTGAATGATCATTTGCAGTTTCCAGTCAACAACATCATATAGAACGAGTGTTCATGCTTTCTTCTTTCCTCATGCATTGGCTTTTGTTGTCCTTTGGCTGAACATGTTTTGCAGTGATATATGTTTGCTCATTCACACATTTATCTTGACAGCATTTTTTACCACTCAGCAAGAGTTCTTGAAAGGATGAGCTACACCTTGGTGATTTCGAAAGGGCACAATGGAAAACAAGGCGGATTGTGATTCTTAGCTGCCCGACGGTGGGTCTCTCAGGGTACTCTGATCATCTGATGCGGCCGTCTCCATTAATTCCACCTGTGCATGATGCCATGTACTAAGCTGATCACATACATCTTGTAGCATCTCACGGGTGTGTATCCCAGGGTAGGAGGTGCTGTTGTAGGGGAGAAAGGAGGCCGGTTGCTCTATGTTGAGCCATGGCTTTCCCATTAGCAGGGTCCCCTTCCGTAGGGCCTGCAAAACCACAACGGAGCTCCTCTTCTGGGAACAGCTCTCTCACTTCTCTTGAAGCGGCCCCGGCTATCGGCGGTTCAAGGTCATCAAAGCCACAGAGAGCAAGCGGTTTTGCCCTCGATGTGCTTTTGGAAGGGGAATCCAGCGGAGCCCCGGGCCTCAGCAACATCGCGAGCCATAGTGGCAGCAGTGGCTTTTTTGCAGAGTCCAGTAAAGCTCGCTGGCCAAGCAGTGAAACCAATGATGGTCAACCAATGGGACCTTTGGGATTGCCTTCGGGATCAAAGGAAGGCACGTTGGAGTACGAGTATGAGTCATCAAGGTCCATGTCAATGGCTGTGAAAAAGATTCCTTCTAGAAGAGGGGGCAGGCGAACATCGAGCGATGGCAAGTCCATGGAGCGCAGAAAAGCGTTCCCTGAAGAAGATAGCAGTCGTGGGGATTTTCGAGGTCACGATGACGAAGACAGCAACCAGAATCGGGACCGGATACTAGGATCTGCTGCCCCTTCTCCTGCAGCTGTGCCAGGGACAGAGAGTGGGGAAAGAGGAGGAGGAGAGCCTAATTTTGGCTCTGCTGCCAATCGTACGGGAGCGGAAGCAAGCACAGTAGCCCCTACAGCCCGGGGAGAGAGGGACAGCTTGGAAATTGCTCAGGAAACGTCTTCGATAATGTCAGTAAGAGCGGATGAGAAGGGAAAGGATCCGATCTTGGGGGGGGGTGGCCCGGGTGGGGAGGACGCAATGGTGGCCTCGAAATCTTGGGGCAAGGATACCCGTCGAGGTTCGACCAGGGATGCAAGGTTGTCCGAAGTCCAGCAGAAGGGGTTATCGAGGGGAGGAAGGATCTTGACGTCAGATACCAGCCCGGTTGGTTTTGGAATGGTAGGAGGAGCAGGAGATACGGCTAATCTTTTGAGGCCACCCGAGTTTGACTCTCTCGACTGGGGGCTGATGGGGGTTGGCAACCTTGGCCTGAGACCTGGCAATCCAAAGTCCCGGAGGCAGAGTCTCAAGTCCACCACGAAGCCGCCAGAGGACCGTGATCAACAGACCTCTGGCTATGGCGGCAGAGCTGACGCAGACAGTGGCAAGATGGAGGCCGCAGTGCTAAGAGGAAATACCGGGGGTCAATTGTCGATAGCGGGCTCCGTGAGACCTGGCTCAGACAAGGGGACAACACACGGTGTCTATCCAACTGCTAGCGACACATGGCAAGACGGTGCAGGGGCAAGCACATCCATCGCAGAGAACAAAAGTTCCCTCAGTACTTGGGGAAATCCCTCCACTTCCACTTTGACGACATTATCAGAGATGCCATGGGATGGCACCAGAAGAAGCAGCGACCTTTCCTTACCCTGGCCAAGGTTCTCCACTACAGGTACTAGGCATAAAGATCCCCTCGAAAGCGGTGAGCCCTCTTCCCCCTATGGTGATCCTGAAGACGGAGATGTTGCTCAGCGTGGTAGATCTTCTAGCGACACAATACATATCAGCCAGTCAACTTTTCTGGACAGCACCCAAAGAGAAGGCCTCCCGGCGATAGGGAGGCAAGGTGCAAAACTCGAGGAAGACACTTATTGGAAGAAGGGCACGGAAACAGTCACAGGTGAATCCATGTCAGCCTTTACGGCGGCTACCTCAGCCGACGCGAGTGATCTGGGTAGCACTTCCATGATTGGGGCATCACGCAATGCCGAGGAGCGGTCCAAAGAATTGAACTCGCAACTCGGCAGGACAACGAATGGTCGAAGGCGTTCGAGCTTGAGCTGGAAAGCGGAGGCAGGAGGAGAAGGAGGAGAAACACTTGCACGGAAGCAGGAGGATGAATGGGGAGAGAACTTTGATGTTCTCACAATGTTGCCGGATGGAGCGCAGCCTGCCATAGCGGACACTCAGGTGAATAGAGGAGGTAGTGTGGATGGGTCTACGACAATAACGTCTTCGATGATGGGAAGGGAAAGCAATATGCTTGGAACCAAGGGGGTAGAGAAAGGACCCTTAGAAACTGAAGCCGCAGGACAAGAAGGAGAGGAAAGGGAGGATGAGAGAGTGGGAGTATCCATCTCATCGCCATTGCAATCACCAGAGTTTGGAGCATATAAGCCATCTTTCCTGTCATCTGCAGCGCAGCGGCGGCCTCCCATGTCAGGTAGACGAGCGGTGGCAGGGGGTGTGGAGCTGGGACGGCGGAGATCCTCTTCAGATCCCGACGCAATACTTCCAACTAAGAAAGGAGCAGAGGGGAACAGAGATCAGGAGGGTGGAAAGCAGCAAGAGAGCACAGCACATGTTCGTGAGTCTCCGCACGAGTCAGGAGGAATGCCCGAAACTGCACGACGCACGCCGAGGATGACCTCAACCATCCGCATGACAACAGTCGCGAGCGGTGTTTTCAGGACAAGGCCTCCTCTAAGAACCCGACAACGCACAGAGGGGAAAACAGGCCGGGATCTAGATGCCTTGCTCTTCGACGGAGAGTCCATGTCAAGATCGTCGTCTCCTGTAAGCCACCAGACTGAAACACCAAGCCCGCGGATGGCCAGTGGCGTGTCGGTAGGAGAAAGCAGATCGCCAGAAAGTAGTGGTGTTCCCAAGGCGAATGACCTGAGGGAGATCGAAGAAGGAACGTTTCCAATTCTGCATAACGACCAGGTAGGTGGAGGGCCTCCTGCTTCTCAGAGGAGGATAAGTCGACTCTTGGTGGATGACTTCAGCAACGACATGGGAAGAAGAAAGAGCAAGGAGGAGCAAGGAGGAATGGTGAGCATAGATGTGGGAAGGAGGCTTTCGTCTAGTAGCTCTCCTTTTGAAAATCTTGGCAAGAACGAGGAGGCAAAACCCCCAGAGGGGAAAGAGGAGGAAGCAAGAGCGGTTGCTGAGATGGAGAAGCACAGGAAAGAGATGGCAGAGATGAGGGACCGCCTACAGGATGAAATAGCCAGGCTGGAACACGAGTTGGCGAGAACGAAGTTGAAGATGGAGGCACAAGTGCAAGAGAAAGAGGAGATGCATAAGCAGCAGGAGCGAAAGTGCGCGATGGATGCAGAGATACATGAGCGGGAGATGCGTGATCTTCGGGAGGAGCTGGAGAGGGTGAGGTTGGCCCATACCAAGGAGGTACAGAACAGTGAAGACGCGGCCCGAGGGCACTCGTCCTTAGTCAAAGAACTTCAGGCAATTAGGGAGCAGAAAGAGAAGTTGGAGGTGGAGAACAGAGCTTACCGGGCAGAGATGGAAACAGACAGAAGGCAGATAGAAGAGATGACGATTGAGAGAGGGAGGCTAGAAGGCGAAGTGGGAGGTATGAGGTTGCAATTAGAGCGGTTGAGAAAGGAGGCGGCCATGGCGAGCGATATGGCTCAGAAGGCACAGACGGAGAGAATTGAGGGAATGCAGAGACAATTTGAGATGTATGAAGGTCAGATTGCAGAGCAGAGAGCTAACTACGAGAGCCAGATTAAGATGCTGCAAGAGAAACAAGGATCCACCATAGCGGGCATGGAGCGGCGGCATTCGGAGGAGACAAAGGCGCTGAAGGACACGCACGACGCTCTTGTTGCAAGCTTGCAAACTGGTCATGCGCAGGAGTTGGAAGCGAAAGACAGAATGTTGGCAGAGGAAAGAGAGTGCTTGGCAAAGTATAAAGCATACATGGGGGGCTTCGCTGAGGTGATGAAGAAGATTGAAGAAGGCACTTTGGTTTTGCAGAATATGGGAAAGCAAGCGGCCGCTGAGCGGGAGGCTGCGATGCGAGAGCATGGGGAGTGGTTCCTTGGCCTTCAGCAGCTGCTTGCCGAGCGAGAGGCAAGCCTGAAGAGCCAAGAGGAGGAAGTGCATACCACTCGCCAACAGCTAGAAGCCCTCAGGCTCTCTCTCAACCAAGTTGCACAGGAGCTGCATGAGATGCACGAGGAGGAGGCGGACAGGCTGCAGGCAGAGCATGAAAGGTTGCAGTCATTGCAGGAGTCACTGCAGAAAGAGAGGGAGATGGCACTCAACGATCTAGCAACAGCGAGGCATGATCTGGAGGAGATCGTGGAAGCAAAGAGGAGAGAGAAGGAAGCATTAACCAACGAGATCATCGAGGAGAGGAAGAAGATGGCTGCCGACAGGATGGAAGCCTTAGAGCTGAAGGAGGAGGCGATGGTGGCGAAGGCTTGGATTGAAGGCGTGACAAGGGAGCACCGTGCGGAGATGAAGAACGAGAAGGATGCCTTGGAGGGCGAGAAATACCAGCTAAGTCTTGAGAGGGAAGGCAATTTGGAGTTGTCCAAGACATTAGAGGAGGAGCGTGCGCGCCTGTTGGCACAGAGAAAGGCGATGGCTGCGGAAACTTCTCGAATCCAGGTCATGGCGGCTGAGGTAGAACAGCAGGCGGAAGCCTCCAAACACTTGCGTGAGCAAGGGGTGCTTGCATGGAAACGGGCACAAGCGCTACACGAAGATGCACTACAGAAAGCAAAAGTGTCGGAGAGGAACAGGAGGGACATAGAGAGAGCCCGTAGAGAATTGACAGACATGAAGAAGGAGCAGGACAAAGAGAGGCTGGTCATCGCAACAGAGAGGAAGCGGTTGAGCGAGGAGAGGAGAGAAGTGGATCGTGAGAGAACGGACGTAGAGACATGGAAGGCTAACGAATCGGTGAACGATCCTCCGGGGTTTGCCATCAGGCGCAGCCGAGGAGCACTGCTGGCCAAGAATGAGAGTTGTCGGTGGCTCGACTCGACGAGCAGCGAGAGTACATCGTCTATCACAGCAAGTCGGGGTCTTTCGAAACTGGAGGGAACCTCCTATCGAAAGAGAAGGAATAAGAGGAAGAGAAGATGTCGAGGAGCTGAGAAGGAGAAGCCAACAAAGGATTTGTTGAAGACACTCTTGGTAGAGATACGGCGTCTTAACCCTGAAGTGTCACGGTGTCCTCGTGTATGGACAAACGGTTGCTATAGCTCACCCACCATGGCATGGGGTGGTGGCAATCATGGTCATCGAGGTTGCCCAACCCCACGTCCCCCGATAGGAATCTCAAGAGGCTACTTAAAAACGCAAGCCGAATTCTTGGACAAAGCCCGGACCATGGCAGAAATGTTTTCTCAAGCCGCTTCATCATCACCATACTCTCCGACAAATGGCATTGCTATGTTGTCACTTGCGCAAGCTGCCCAGGTTCTCAGAGACCACAAGCGCGATGTCACGGAAACAACAACCGGGCATAGCGGTAGAGGGCAAACAGTTGCACACACGTGTCCCATGAGTGGTGGAGGCGACGAAGAACGGCAGGGACCCCAACCGTCTGGCCGAGACAAGATGATCTCAATCAGTTGCCCCAATTTTTGGTCACAGGGCAATACATCTGGCCTGTCCCTGATTCAGCCGACCCATAATGGCCCCTCTTTCCCTCATGCTGGGACGCTTGGCATCGGACTTGGCGCTCTGTCCACCCCTATGGGCTTGAGTTTCTCCTGATGCAAGCCGAACTTGGGCAAGACGACCCATAGGACGAACTTGCACAGCACTGGAGCAAACAGACAAGATAGTTCGATCAAAAGGCTGAAGAGGTTATATTGACAACTGTGTGCTGGGCCATTTATTAACAGCCCGGTCCACTCAGCAAGAGACCTGATTTGATGGTTCAGCAGCAAGCATTCCATCTCACTCATAACCAAAGAAATGTTAATTTTATGTATTTTATAACCGTTGATCTACAAGACACGAATACAAAAACAAATCATTAACAAAATATAAGAAGCTGTAAATAAAAAACGATAGAGAGACAAGGACTAAGATATGGGACGCTGGACCTTTTTTTCCAGCAGGTGATGCTCCCCACCAATAGATGGAGTAGCCAGCGATAGGCCTACGAGGGGAGGCTACTCATATCACCCCCCCTAGTAGTCCCGGTCTGGCTTTGTTGTTAAAAAAAAAAAAAGGAAAAAAAAAAAAGAAGAAAGAAAGATAGACAGTTCTTTTTTTTGTAACTTGTCTTAGGGCACGCTCACACTGGGTACCAGAACCGTAAAACTCCCAAAAAAATGTGCACACGGCTGGTCACACACAATGGTTCCGACCCCAAACACCCCATTCGCAAACCCATTTGTCAGCGGCCTGCCTGGCCGCGGGTTTGAGGATCTTTTTTTTTTTTAATTTTCATAAATGAATGCAAAGTTGAAAAGGGAACATGTACGTTCTATATTTGGGGTTACTTCTGTGTGACTGGAAACCCCAAACAGCAGCACCCTGATGGCACAGTAGCGACCGTGTCTTTAGCCAAATGGGAACGCGGTCTGAACGCAGTGTGGCCTGAAACGTCCCAAATACCCCAATTCGGCCCAACCCATTTTCGCAATTTATACGGATTTGCTACCGCAGTGTGAGCGTGCCCTTACTTCCGTTCGTTTCTTCATTTTTATTTTTTCATATTTTCGTTTGTTTAAACCACTAGTACCTTTTGTCGTTGTTTTTTTTTCTTTTTCGCTGACCATAATTTGCTATTAAAGAACGGAAAGAGTTAAAAAATGTGAAGAACACAACATCCTTATGCTTGGTTGGAGGTTTAGCCTTCACTCAAGGCTTGTTTTCCATTTGTATAGCATGACCTTCCCTTTGGGTTTGCTTATATATTTCCGTAAGTGCTGGCCCAGCACTGTGGCGTCACTTCCATTCTGAAAAGGTTTTTTAAGGGACGCTGGACCCGTTTTCCAGCAGAAGAGAGAGTATCCCATTTTTCTCAACACATGATTCTCACAATACAATAGAATACAATAGATGCCATGAGGGAAGTAGAGGGTAGGCTGAGGCCGGGTGAAGGTGGGGAACTCCACTGGTGCCCCCCAGTGGCCTTCCACCCTTTACCTGACCTGGCCACAGGCTAGGAAGGGGGTTATGGTTTTAATATGGGACGCTGGACCCGTTTTCCAGTACAGTGGTGTCTCTTTTAAATGTAAAGATGTATTCAAGGGACGCTGGACCCAGTTTCCAGCAGGTGATGCTCCCCACCAATAGATGGAGCTGTTTGTTTAAAAAAAAAAATAAAAAAAAATGCTAGAAGCCGTAAGATTGACCTGTATTGCTCCACAAAGCTCCGAACGAAACAGATTGAGACTGTGTACACAGGTGGGAGGTGTGTTGCTCTTGAAAGGGAGGGGCGGAAACGAGGGTGAGTTCTCTTCTGGAGCTGGGCTGATTTTGGGTTGGATCAGTCACAGCGGCTGGGGCAGAGAGGACAAGGGGTGAAGTGCTGGTTTCAGCAGGAAGAGAGGTTGAGTGGGCTGTTCTGCTTCGAGGGGGTGGAATAGGGGAATGGGGGAACTTCTGCTCTGCAGGGGTATACGCTAGGGGAATTGTATGCCATTGAGAGAGTAGCGGTGTCCGTCTTAGGGCCTGTCCTGAACTGGGCCGAAGAGGAGAAGGGGGGTCCTCATGGCGAGGGCAGGGTAGGGACAGGGGGTTGTTTTTTGAGGGAAGAGAGTTATCTTGGGGGTAGTCGTGAGCTCTTTTGTGCAGATGAGCCTCCACCATACACCGGAACCTCCATAAGGAGAGAGGTTGGTTTCCCCCCCATTCCTCTTTCTTGGGGAGGTAGAGGGGGTTGAGTAGGAGGTCTTACCTGTTGGAAGTGTATCTCTCATGGTTTTCTTATGTTTTCTGAAAATGATGAGCTAAAATTCTGCATTTACACTGGTCAGGCGAAGAACGTGGGAACTGGAGTTTTGGATGGTAGCCTGACCAGTCGTTGCAGGAGTTTTGAACGGGAGGTTGCCAATGGGTGATCTTGGGGTTTTCAGCCGTTCATCTGAGGCCTGGTAACTTGTGGGCTTCCATCAGGACGACGACGGTCGGAGCTGGGGTGGGTTGTGCTGCCCTGTAACCTAGCAGGGGGGACGTGAGACCTAGTAGAGTCCTGGCATGAGGGAGGAAGGTGGAGGCAGGTTTTGGTTGGCCTGCTGAGTAACACTCGGGTACCCTGGCCTTAGTTTTCCTTTTTTAATTAGGCTCCTGATTAGTCCAAGTAGATAGTAGAAGTTGGTTCTATATTCCTAAAAGTTTGTTAGTGCTGCTCCGAGTTGTGCTCAAGTCTCTCAGCCGAAGCGGAGTGATGGCCCTGGTACTTTTCAACTCATTAAAATCTTTATAAGGGATGCTGGGCCCGGTTCCCAGCACGTGCTGCTCCCCATGAATAGATTGGATCTTTGTCCTCTGTTAAAAAACAAACAAACAAACAAACAAACAAACAAACAAAGAGACAGTGAACGATTTGTACAATTCTATATGGGACGCTGGGCCCGGTTCCCAGCACGTGCTGCTCCCCACGACTAGATTGGAGCATTAAACCACAGGTCCCCCCGGCGTCGAAAACCCTCGGACGACCTGTATGTCGCGGTCGCTGTTTTTTGGTCGGACGACCGGTTTTTCGCGGCCTACCGAGTCCCATCCCGACATGCCGTTTCGAATGTGGGACCCGGTAGGGCCGGTAGTAACGAATGATGTCGTTGCAGCACGATGTCCGTGTTCACGGATCCGGACAAACGAACAGAATATTTGGTTTTTTTTTTTCAATTTTGCTTTTGTTTTTTTGGTATGTGTTTGCATATCTTTTCGGAGTGTTTTCACTTTCGTTCTGCAATGTTTTTTTTTCTTTTCTTTTCTTTTTATTCTTATTTTTTCCATGCCGTCGGTTTACCGCGGCTGAAACGACGCGGTGGTTTCGTGCAAGCCACGTCACTTCGCCACTACCGCCACTACACAGCGAGATGGGGCGCGACGGTACCGGGTCATCGTGCGCGTCTGAGTTCCCACGTGTCACGTCGCGGTGCATGTCGCGGTTGGTTGACGTCCTGCGGGATCATCACATCGTGGGAAGGTGTTGACGTATGCATGTCGCGACGACATGCATATCTATACAGAACGGTTGCTCTCTCTCTCTCTCTCTCTCTCTCTCTCTCTCTCTCTCTCTCTCTCTC